CCAGTTTAAAATTGCATTTGATTAATTTAAATTTTTAAAAAAATATAAAAATATAATTTGAAATAATAAATTTTATTAATGTGATATAGGAAAAAAAAATAGGTGAAGATGAAACTGAAAATAATTTTGGGAAAAAATGGTAAAAATTTAGGTTCGGATGGTGTTTTTAAAAGAAAAATTCGGAAACTGGAGGTCAAAACGCAATTAAAAAAAATTGTGTCACGTAGGATCGTCCAATCAGCAGCCCCGATAAACCGGAGAGCGCCACATGGCAGGACTTACTAACTTGGAGCCACACGGGAGGTCACGCTGGCGATCCACGTGCCCCGCAATCGGATGGCCTAGAAGTGTTCATGCGCACGTAGACGATACAGATCTGTTCCTTCCTCATACACGATCGGATGGTCACGATTAAACGCGATGAATGGTCCAGATTCGTTCTCTCTTTAAATGTGATCGTACGATTGAGATCAAATTGCGATGAATTGTCCAGATTCATTTTCTTTTTAAATGCGATCGGGCGGTTGAGATCAAACGTGATAAACGACCCAGATTTAAGTAAGGCGAATATAATATTTCACACCACACCGAACCCAAATCCTAACCGTCAGCCTCCTGTTGGAGAAGAAGAACCAATCGCTAGAGAAGGAAGCCGACCATCGCCCGCCACCGCACCGAAACCACATCCGACCGCCAAAAAAGTAAAAATTCTCCTATCTGCTCAGAATTTGATTCCGAGCACCCTCATGGCCAAATCGAAGTAAAAAGAACGGCGAGTGAGTCAGAAACTGCGGACAAAATTCAGCGATGCCACCACAGGCAAAACCTAAAACCTCCTCCGATGAGCTCATTCCCGTTTTCCATTTTGTATAATTTTTCCACCATTGTATTCACTGTTATATTTTCTATAGGTTGACAAAAAAAAACACCCAGCCGCGTAGGTGAGTCGGCGGAGCTGCCGCATCGAAAAATTTCGTCGTCAGTAAGTTTTTATTTTTTGACTTTTTTTAGCCAACCAAGACCCCTTAACGTATTTTCTTACAGGGATGGGTATAAAACCAGAGGAAACTGGCCAAAGTTGATAACAAATAACTAGACCAAGGCAAACTGCCACTGTGGGCGACGGTGCCGTCGTGTCAAAATTTTGAAATTAGCCAGAAAAGATTTTTAATATCAATTTTGGATTTTTGGAGTATGTTTAGGTACGTGAATGATGTTTTAATCTCCAAAGAAAATTTAGGAAACTCGGGGACTGCAAGTAAGCGCAATAGAAAATTCAGTATTTCGGACACCGATTCGGATAAGATCCCTCACCTTATTCTTTGTTATAGAATTGAAGCTTAATAATCGGTAATATAGTATTTTGTGTAATTTAGAAAATTTTGAGAATAATTACAGGTTACCAATAGAGCTAGAAACTAGTTAGTTATTTATTTGTTGTCCTGTTTACCTTATTGTTAAATTTACAGCTTTAAATACATGATGATATACTAGAATAATTAAATGATTCAATTATGCTTTCTTGACATATATATTGCTTATCTTGCGTGATTTACGGATGATTTGTGAAATTGGTGATTAATATGCAAATAGAAAATTAGTTGATCATGTGAATAAATGATAGCATTACTGGATATCGTAGGAGATAGTGGACAAACTAGTACATAGAAAACCCTACCATGAACGTTGCCTCATATAAGGCGGAGTATCGAGGA